TATATCTGTCTATTATTGTATCGGCACTACACAAACCTCGCTGTTAAAATTTTAAGACTATTTCGGGGAAAACAAATAAAGGAATATATGGGTTTTGAACTTCTGATTCTTATAGATTTTGTAGTTTGCAGTTGCACACAGACACAGAGAGAGAGAGGGGGGGAAGTTTAGATTTGAGAACGAAAATAGAGGGAAGGCAAGTTCAGAGTCGAGAGAATAGAGATGGTCCAGATGGAAGCGATTGGATAAATTGAGGATTGGGTTTTGTTTTGTGGATTACACGTGGCTGCTTGTAGGCCTTTAGTTTAGAATAATTATATATATATATACGGTTCCGGTTCTTATCGGTTCCCACAGGCTAGAGCCGAAACCGGAACCGTACACTTACGGTTCCGAAATTAAGAACCGGGACTGAAACCGGAACAGTGAGAACCGGAAAAAACGGTTCCGGTTCCCACAGTTCCGGTTCCAGTTCTACGGTTCCGATTCTTTTGTGCACCCCTAGTTTGGATTGTGAGTTTAAAGAAAGGATTAATGGCTTAATTTGATATATTGTGCTATCCACCATGTTGCTTAGATAATATATACTTAATTAGTCATCCATGCTTGTTGAAACAACCACACACACACACTATTGCTGCAATACATGTTTTCCCCCTCATTAATCATTCATTAAGGGTGTAGAAAAGTTATGCTTAGTTGTGATCTCTAAACCCCAAGTTCTCTCTTTTTTATTTTCCCTCTATTGCATTTAATTGTTTACTTTAGTTTAAATTGCATCTTAGTATAATTCAATCACCAACCAATCTTTTGATCACTCGACCTACTAACCCTAATCTAGATTCCACAACCTAATACGACCCACCAATCCCTTGGGACGATCCCTACTCGCCTTAATTATATTTTTAGTGAAAGGTAGTAGTGGCAAATTATAAATGTAAAACTTGGCCACACTTATCATAGTCCAACATCTCTTTGCACAAATTTGGGTGCACACGCGACGGTCACACCTATATATATATATATAACAAAACAAAGTTAAATGGAGTGCAAGTCAAAACAAAAAGTAATGGAGTACAAAGATCTCCTCATTGAAAGATTATTACAAAGTTAAATTTGTAGTTTGGTTGTCACTAATCATGTTTATGCTTCATAAACATCCTACATAATCTTATTTATACTTGTAAATTTATTCATAATTTTTTTCCCAACTCTTTTTAATGTTTTGATATTTTTTTTTTTTTTTTTTTTTTTTTAACAAATTATCTCAAATCATAAAGAAAAATGGAGTATTACATATAAATTTATAATTGTATTTATATATATAATTATTCAAAACAAAAACAAAACAGTCTTTACCAAACATGTATCATGTTTTTTATTCAGAATTTTTGACAACAAAACTAACTTCTCAAACGTGTTTTGTTTTCAGACTCCTTAAAACCCATGATATTACCAAACGCGTTTTTATATTTTTGATATACAATTATCAAAAACAAAATAGTCGTTACCAAACATGGTTCCGATTTCTACTAAAAAATATACCAATATCAAAACGGTTGTTTTCATATCATACCAAACCATAACATATAGCGTTATCATGATCCAAACGGGCCCTTATATGTAGAGAGATAACCCATTTAACTCATTAATCACATGTGAGTATTGGATTTTTTTAAAATTCTATATATAAAGAGAGACTTATTTAATTCATGTGGCTATTGGATTTTTATATAAAGAGATGACTCATTTAATCATATGTGGCTATTAGAATTCTAAGTAATATATATATAAGTATATGATATAATGTAAAGTATTTAATGAAAACTATTTTGTATTTTTGAAAAATCTAAAAATATTAAGAAATTAGCTACACTTTTAGAATAGTATAGATATAGATATAGATATAGATATTGATATAGATATAGATAGATATAGATATTTGCCAATACTTATTTCCTTTATGAGTTTAAATTTTTAATGTTAATTAAGACATTTGTTTGTTAAAATTATATATGTTAACGAGTACTTCTTGAGTAATGTTCATTAGTTAAGTTTTAATTAATAATTTTACGATCAATTTTGACATTATTATTTATTGTTTAATTGATGTATTTCTTTGGGTGAATTTTATTGTTCTATGTATGATTTGATATTATATTAATAAAATATAGTATTTTTTATATAAAAGTAAAATGTTATGAATAGAGATTCTGAGGACAAAAATGTAATATGTACAATAGTAGGGTTTTAACTTTTGTATTTAACAAACAATAATTTGACGCTTAAAATTAAGATAATATCAATTATCGAACATGTTTTTAGATTAATACATTTAACACTCAAAATAAAAATAATATCAATTATCGAACATGTTTTCAGATTAATACATTTAATACTTAAAATTTCAAAATAAATATATTTTAGTACAGTTTTATTAAAAGCACCATGGTGAGCAAACACTTGTCCAAAATACTTATTTATTTATTTATTTATATACATTTTTTTTAATATTTTTTAAAATACAAAAAAATAAAAAAACAATGTTTCTTCTTTTCTTTAAATGTGCTTGCATTAAGTTTTTTTTTTTTTTTTTTTTTTTTTTTTTTTATTTAAATAATTGATTTTAAGAGGCCAAGAAGCGGCCAACAGTTTCATTAAGGAGTTGATTGCTCTTCTTTGCAAGTTTGCATGTCTGATCTATATTTATATTTATACTACATATACTTTTTATTATTTATATACGTTTTCAATAAAATAAAATAAAATAAAATAAAAAAACTACATTCTAAACTAAATTATGGTTATTAATAAATTTATTTCTAAAAGTTATTTTTCATAGACAACCCAAAGGATACCTAAGCTTGATAAAATTAAGATTTCCATATGAATTTTTTCACAATTGAATAATATTTCTCCAATGAGTTAATAATACCTTCTAAAATAAAGTTATTAACAATTTTATTTCTAAGCCTTTCTTTTTTGTTTTTGTTTGAGCGTAAAATTTTATTTTGTTTTTTTTTTTTTTGTTTTCTTGTATTTGGTTGTCGTAAAATATTTAGGAAGAAAAAAAATATCAAAATTTAACAAAAATTATTTATTCATTAATTTTCGACAAACTATTTCATACACTACATCCAATGGACTCAACCTAAACTTTTGCCAAATATCAAAAATTAAAAATAAAATAAAATATTTTACCTAAAAAGAATATATATATATTTTTTAAAAAATATTTTACGTCAAAACAAGAAGCTAGGTTTGCCAAAAAGTTCCCATATCAAACTTTCCGTTTCCTTTTTCCTGGACACCGACGTTGCCAAAATATGTTGCAGAATTAAAATGGGTTCCGTGTACATAAGGCATTCCATTTTTGTAATGGGAATTCCAGAATCGTATGTGATGTGAGTCCAATGCAGACTGAGCTTTGCACATAAGGTTATGTCTGGTTGCGCCGAATTAGTATCGAATTGTATTTCATTGTTCCACCCTAAGTCACATAAAGCGGAACAGGAACGAAAATAAATTCGAGAGTAGGAATATGAGAACGATAAAATTAAGTCATAACTCAAAAGCGGAATTAGAATTTGATTATATTTCATTGTTCCACCGCCATTTCTTTTATAATAATTTTCTTTTCTTTAACTTCTCCTAGAGTTTCTTTTACTCTATTCATAATAGAACCCGCAATTTTTGGACATTTTATTTATATTTTCTTTCCTCCCACATTGTGTTTCTTTTACTATTTTTTTAAATTATTTTATTTACTTCCTGTTTCTTAATTACATGCTTTCCATTACTTGTTTTGTATCATTACTTGTTTTGTATCGAGTTAAAACAAAACGTGTACCAAAAAGAGCCTACGACTTTCCACTCATGTGTTGAAGTTCTTTCGTTGCGTTTGTCCGGAGTTATTTTACAATCTTCACATCGTTAAATAACACATTGAGCATGAGATTTAATTAACCGCTTCAATTTCGGCTTTTAACATCAATAATAGCTTAATTAAACATAGTTATTTTACAATCTTTACATCGTTAAATAACACATTGAGCATGAGATTCAATTAACTGCTTCAATTTCAGCTTTTAACATCAATAATAGCTTAATTAAACATAAACATTTATCATACCGCCCATTCTATTAAAATAAATAAAAAGAAAAATACAACTCACTCAGAACAAGCAATTACAATACTCAGAGATCAGTGTATAATGCTCGATGTTTTTATTGGAGGTCTAGGCCTCTATTTATAAGCAACAAGGTGGTGGAATTATGGTAGGACTCGCCTGGCTTGTCCTCCAATCCATTCCATATATGATATTCTTTACAATTATAATCCTTTCTTTTTTACAATTCTTTCCATGCACAACTTTCCTGGCACAAAACTTGCTTTCTTTGCTAAATCATTTGTCTAGCAAGACTGATCTACCTTTAATTGAGAGGGCTGAATGTGGGCTGATCCAAACGATTTGATAAATGGGCTTGGAGTTCAACCTTGGCGCCCCGGGCTGTTGACGTCTGGGCTTAGTAAATGGGCCGAATGGCCTGAGTCAGCGGTCTATATGGAAGCAAGACTTTGCCTGAGCTTGTTCCGGATTGGGTTCTCCCAATTTGGGCTTGATACCGATCGGCCCTTGTTGTATCTAATATAACTTTGTAGTGTGAAATAACAAATAGAGCATGAGATTCAATTAACCGCTTCAATTTCAGCTTTTAACATCAATAATAGTTTAATTAAACATAAACATTTATCATACCGCCCAAATAAACCAAATCGGTGCTTCGAAATTGAAATAAAATAAAATTTAATTTAAAATTTCAACTAAAATTCTTCTAATTTCAAATCCAAAGTGCCAATTCATTGTTTCCAAACATAAGGCTAATAAGTGTCTTGTAATTAAACCTTCCTCTAATTTTAAATCCAAAGTGTTCCCAAACATAAGCTATTAGGTGTCTTAGTACTTAAACCTGTTACTTTTGCAAGACTTCCTTCCATATATAATCGAAACATCACTCATTAATTAAAACACGACCAACATTGTTTGATTCCAAATTAAAACATTCCAAATTAAAACAACAATGTTTGTAGAAGTTAGGTGAATTTACTCAATCCATCCATGGAAAAAACAGGGAGATAACATATACGAAATCTAAAGAAAATCAAGAAAGGGAAGGATTTGCTACGGTCCAAACATGTAGAAACAGTCTCAACGATTGAAAAATCAGTTCAAATCTAGTCCTTTGACCGCTCTGCAGAGCTTTCTGGCTCAACCCCTTCATTAGGCTCTGGCTCTGGCTCTGGCTCAACCCCTTCTTTAGGCTTCCTTTTTGCTTGAACAACTTCTTTGCTCATTACATTGACAATCATCCCGTTCATATGAATTCTGAGTTCGTCATACTTTTTAGGGGTGATATTCACTGTGATCTGAACGCCGGTCAATTCTTCCAAGTCTTTCACGGTATCCACCTGTTCTTTCGTTGTAACATCTATCCCAGATTTTATACCGTTAGCCAACCTCCTTAACTCTTCCAGCAATTCAACATACCTGGTCCGCGGATCAGCTTTACTATCCATCATTTCTGTGTATCCCGCTTTCATTTCTACCAATTTTCCAGCTAAATTTTTCGTCTCTTCATTTATTTCTTGTCGCCTTTGCTTTCTATTTTCTGATTCAATTTTTACCTCTTTAATTTTATTTTGACATTCTTCCATCCTCTTTCTTCTTTCTTCAACATCATTACGAATTTCTTCGAGCTGTTTTTTCTCTTGTTTCAGCTGTGCAACTCTTGGGATCAATTCATCGAGAAGAAGAGACATTCTGATAAGACCTATCAACACAAATTTGGATGTCCAAATTAAACAAGAATACAAGATATAAAAGCTTGAAAGATTAGCAACCAAGTTTTGATGGAACTAAACAAATATGAATAAATGCTACCTACCATCCAAGCTTGAAAGATTAGAACTACTTTAGACAGATCTTATGTTTTTAAAGTTCTCTAAAATGTTTTCATCAAAAAACTTTGTTTTCCATTACATTGTTTTAATAATTAAACCATGCAAATCAGAATCAAAGAAAACTAGATGGGAGCAAGAGTATGAAGAATATATGTCCCGTTACCTACTATCTAAGGGAAGAAATTTAGAATGGGCGATGAACAAATTTTGCAAAATCCAACGAATATCTTTTTCTTTATTTTAGGAAACAAGAATATATGCTTCCTTGTTAATTTTCAGTAGCCCACTTTTCAGTAACTCAAATGATGCAAAGGAATTGCACAAGCTAAAATTTAGCATGTATTGGTTATATCAGTAATGATTTTTTTTTTTTTTTTTTTTTTTTTTTTTTTTTTTTTTGTAACAGTGGAAGATTGTCTAAGTTGTCTATTATTTGCACTTCAAGAACCATGCTTGCTTTTTTTTTTTTTTTGTGTAACAGTGGAAGATTGTCTAAGTTGTCTATTATTTGCACTTCAAGAACCATGCTTGTTCAGATTGAGTTATGTGCTTCTATTATGCATGTGTCCATTGTATTGTACTTATTTAGCTTTTTGAATTGTATCATGCTTGTTCCCTCATTCTTACTCATCCCCTTTCTCTGTTTCTACCCCTTCCCTTAGGCTTGTAGTCTTGTTGCTTGCTTCCAACTGATAAGTGCAACTCGCACTGAGATGTTGAGAAGATGTGAAGCAGGATGGCTGTGTCAACCGAGCACAACTCCTAATTTTTCTTCTGGCATTAGAGAAAAATATAAAGAGACTAAATGTGACATAGCTAGGAAGGATTCAAAGTAGATTTGAGAGGTGAAAAAGGATACTAGCTATTTAAGAGTAGTAATCTGTTCGTAGAGAATGGAAAAACGCAAGACAGTTCAAAATTTTATGATAGTTTTCTAATACAATTTTATGAGAACAGAATGAAAAAGGATCAAATTTCAAATAACTTTAAGTTCTTTGATTTTTTTGTTTTTATAAAGTTCTTTAGAATTGTTTTGACAGAACTGAATCAAACAGGGTGTTTGCTCTTTTTTTTTTCCCTCTCACAATACACATCATTTTTATAATACTTTTAAGTTGCTTTTGAATTGAAGGATTTGAAATGAAATCTAAGTTCTTTGATTTTTTTGTTTTTATAAAGTTCTTTAGAATTGTTTTGACAGAACTGAATCAAACAAGGTGTTCGCTCTTTTTTTTTCCCCCTCACAATACACATCATTTTTATAATACTTTTAAGTTGCTTTTGAATTGAAGGATTTGAAATGAACGGGTTTATGTTAGAAGAAGTGACATAGGTTTATCTTTTAAGAATGATTTAACGGTCTTGTATGTATATATTTCAAATAACACAAGGTGGAAGGAGATTCTTTTTTTTTTTTTTTTTTTTTTTTTTTTTTTTTTTTTTTTTTTTTCCTGATAAGTAAGATTTCATTAAAAAAAAATGCTCAAAAGGGGAGTGCTCCCAGAAACAACAAAAGACACCCTAGGCACCACTATAATTTCAAGCTATCCACAAACCCCAAAAGATGATATACAATTAGACCCATGAACCCAACAAAAATAAAGTCAATAAATTGTATTTGACAGACCAAACAAGAGATTCCTCTCCTTCAAAAGACCTCAAATTCCTCTCGAGCCACAAACCCCACAATAAACAAAGGGGGGTGGCCCTCCACGCATCCCTGGCTTGGCTCTCCGAGCCTCCAACATGTCAACTGTAGAAGCGGGTGACACACAACTCATACCAAAGATAACCAAGAACATAGACCACACATCCCTTGCCACTTGGCAATGGAGGAGGAGGTGGTTCACTGATTTCCCCGACTCCTTACGCATGCAACACTAGTTGATAACAATTTGACGCCGCATTCGAAGGTTGTCGTTGGTAAGAATGCTTCCGAGAGCAACTAACCAAATGAAAAAGGCCACCTTCAAGGGGTCTTTCGTGCTCCAAATGGCCCTCCAAGGGAATGAAGAGCCAGCGGACTCTGCCAAACTTTGGTAGAAAGCCTTAACCTCAAAGGTCCCTTTACGACTACCCAACCACACCATCTCATCCATACCCTTACCCCCCACCTTCTGATTATACAAAAACACGAATTGGGAGGCGGTGAAGGCATAGGTAATGGGAGCTCTTAGTGCTTTCCATTCAGACGGGCACTTTGAGAAAAGCCTTAATGCCTCTTTCATCACCCTTGCCCCCAAGAAGGGTAGAGTAGTGGAAGCAAAGGACTTTAGGCCTACTGGCCTTGTTAGGTAGGGCTGTTTATAAAATTTTCTCAAAGGTTCTAGCCATCCCTGTGAAGAAAGTATTAGGGGTGCACAAAGAACCGATGGAACCGTTACGATCCGGAACCGGTGCTTCAGTTCCAATTCCTAACGGTTCCAATTCTAATTTCTAGGAACCGTCGGTTCCGGTTCCAGAGCCAGACTCTGGAACCAGAACTACTAGGAACAGGAACCGTAGAATAATAATATATATTATGTTTTTAATTATATAATTACTAATATATATGCTTATTGATGCCTACAAAAAGAGATAAATATAATAAATGTATGTTGTCAGAAAGACGCCAAAGTGGACCCATCCAGCCCTGGACCTTTGTCTCCATTGCAGCTCCTCAAAGCCTCCAAGACCTCCTCTTCCCCAAAGGTCCTCTCAAGCCAATCCATAAGTCTGTGATCCCCGTAAACTCAAGCCCATCAAGCAATGAGCACCAATGAGCGGTCTCCACAACATCCCCAAATTTAGATTTGCACTCCTCCCTCCTACGCGCCTCCACATCACTTAACGCCACCCCCCTCTTTTCTATCCAACTCAGAAATTTCAGAAAGGATTCTATTCTTGCGTCATTCTAGTTTGCCAAACACATCCTTATTCCATGCCTTGATGTCCCCCTTTAACAATCTGATTTTTAAAGCGAGTTGGAAATTTAGGCTGCCCTCTACTCATTGCTAGACCACCATGTGCAAACTCTCTCTTTAAGATCCTCAACTCGGAGCCACATTTTCTCAAACCGAAAAGGAGCTCTCCCTCTACTCACCCCTCCACAGTCCAACAAGATAGGAATGTGATCCGAGACCGCTCAGGCCAAAGTCACTTGGGATCTAAGATAAATCAGGGAACTTCTCTTCCAAAACTCCAGACACCAAAAATCTATCCAAGCAGGGGAGTCCCAACCACAGGACCAACTAAACAGCCCTCCTTCCAATCAAAGATCAATAAGATGATAAGAATCAGAGACATCCGAGAACTCGATCATAGCCGGAGTCCATCTCCCTCTAGTAGAACTCAATCATAATTCAAGGGGGTCCCAACCAGAGGCCCTAGGCCCTAGGCCCTCTAATGACATTAAAATCCCCTCCCACACATCACGAAATTGCCCATTGATTCCTAGCAATCACCAACTCCTCCCATAACCCCCTCCTCTCCACATTCCAAACTGGCCCACACACCCCAAAAAAAAAAAAAAAACCACCAAGAGCAATCTTTCTCCAATGAGAACGAGATGGAAGACCGCCCTTTCCACATTTCAATCTTTGACACCCATCTTTTATCCCAACGAACCACAATAACTCCCAAAGTCCCAACCGCATCGATCACTTCCCAATCAACAAATCTATTACCCCACAGGCTCTTCAAGACTTCAACACTATATCAGTAGAGTTAGCCAATTTGGATTCTTGCAAACACACAACACATGCCCCCCATTTATGTAACAAAGCTTTCACCACCTTCCTCTTGTTCAGGTCATTCAAACCCCGAACATTCCACGACACAATTTTTAGCTTTATTGGCACACAATCTCTTCTTCCGCCGCTGCCTCCCTCCCCCCTTTATAATTCACATAAGAAATCAGATTTCAAAGCTCCCTCTCCCTCTTCCAACAAGGACTCTTCTTATGCTTGATGTAGCCCACTTATTGTCAATCACTTGAAACATCTCATGGACCGCCTGTCTTCCCCTACATACGACATCCCCAATAAATTTCCAGCCACTTCTATACACTCCATAAACCAATTTCCATTCTTCCCATCCAGCTGAATGGCTTGCTACAAATTCCTAATCGTTGCCAATGGAGTATCAATCCCAACGTTACCACTGTCCTCCCACACCCAAGCTGGGAGGTCCAGAACAGAAGCACAATCATATGTTTCTGTTAAGACAGGAGTCGGCCAGCAAAATCTCCTTTTCCCCTTCAGAAGACCTGCACAGCCTACTGTCTTGCAAAGTTTCGCCTTCTTCCCATCCCTTTGCCGTTTCTGATTGCTCGGAGAGTCCAACACGGTGAAGTTTCTAGTTGGCTCGCAGGGCCTCCATCATACCTTTATCAATCAGCAATTGAATCCCTCACCCCACAACACAAAATAAAGCTTCCATCTTCGCTAGTTAAAATCTTCAACCACAGATCCTTAACAGAATCAGCACAGGAATCATAGCATGTAAGGGCCCTGAAATTCCCAGAATAATAAGAAAACTCCCCACTTTCGTCCTCTGATCCTCCAACAGATCTTTCTTAGAGACCAATGACTAACAATGGTGCTCCGATATACGACACCCATCCACCTCCCCATCCACACTCCTCAACGCCCCACAAGGAGTAGGAGTAGAAAGAGATGAAGTATGTGAGATCGGACCATAAGACATACCAGGGCCAAGGTCAGGGCTCGTGGGTTTCACCCATTTTTCTTTTTTAAGCTCAGACCACCTTCAGCTTTTAGGGCGAGAGCAATCACCTAAGGTCGGTGCCATTTCTGAGCATCAACAAGACCAGGCTTGTCTGATGAAGCTTTCAACCCTTTCGACGACCTGGTCTTCACTATGACAGAAACTGAATGAAGTGGGCTGCCCAATTGTGCCACAAATGACTGAGAACCAGGCTCCCTATCAGACTAAATTGGCCCAAAAGAGTTGTAAAGGGCTGGCCAAACATAGGAATCACCCAAACTGCGAGGAACAAGACCACTACACTGCCAACCAGGCTTAGGCCGAGCCTTGGGCTTCCAATCGAAGTCTGGGGCTGTTAAAGTGGGAGCCCAACCCTTTGCCAATCTGGCCCAACCCAAAATCATGGCTCCCTTGGTGCCTATCAAATGTGGGTTGAAAGTGGATCTGGCCACTTGAGACTGCCCGAGAGCCCAACACCTTCCTAGGCCTAAATACCTTACCCGCATCAAAAGAGGAACTGTTCATCTTAGGCACAGCCCAAGGAAGAAAGGATGCCTTGTCACGTGAGTGACAACTAACTGGTGGAGCACATGTTAGTTGTTTGAAATTCAAACCCTTATCACCTTGGCCAGCTGTAGCCCCACCATCCGGATAAGGCCTGCTATGGCCTCCACGTGTCCCCTTTCCCTTCCCCAATCTACCACTCGCTCCTGGTGCATACAAGTCACTTCTTCTTCCTTTCAACACCGGCGCCCTCAATAACACCCAATCAGATTTCCATCTTTGAAATTCCTCCCCTTTCAATCCCTTTGCTGTCTCACCACCCCAATCATGTCGCCCTTCTCGCAACACTCGCTCTGCTTCAACATGTGATGGAAGATGAAACAAAAACAATGAATCAGGTAAGGGCAACACTTCCACTCCACGGGAGATTTGCCAAGAACGAGAGGCCCATTCTACAATTTGGGACTTGTCACCAACCTCTATTAAACTTTCCCACCAAGCATGAACAAGATCAACACACCTCTCCCAACAGAAGCACCATCCACATTGATTGAGGGTCCTCTAACAGGTTTTGCTACCCTTACAGTACGGCTTGGTACCAATGAGAACCTAGAATGCATGGATGACGGTGCCATTTTGTGTTGGAAATTTTTTTCGACACCACACTATGAACACTCCTAAACACATAACACACACCCAATAGATGTGTCCAAACATACCGATAATGGACTAAGAACACCAACTATAATGCTTCCTTAAGCTTTATGATTACCCTTGCCATGATAAACAGCCTGGTAAGTCTCTAGAGGAAGACACAAATCCAGCGCATGAACCTACTTTCACTACTCGCCGCACCATGACTAACACAATAGTACAAACCAAAGAAGCCTAGTACTGAAGTGATCCCTATTTCTAATATAGCCAATACATCTGAAAATATCACTTGGCAGAGAAAGACAAGAAGCCCAAGAGTATGACTGGGAACAGTAAGGTAAAAACCATCTCCATACAGTAGTATGACTGAGAACACTAGGGTCAAGACCATATCCATACAGTAGTATGACTAAGAACAATAGGGTAAAGACAATCTCCATATGATAGGGTAAAGACAATTAGCATCTAATCTGATATATCATGTGGGAACATAAGAGGGCTAAAGAACCTCCTAAAATAAATTGAAATCAAAAGAAACTTGTTATTCTATGTTTGGTCGAAATAGAAGTTAGTTGAGGAAATTTAAGGAAGTACTTAAAATTGTTTTGCCTTCTGGAATTGTAAAACACAGCATTCCTTCAGAGTTTAAAATGTCTAGGCTTGATGGGACCCAAATGCCTAGCACTTGGAAGTAAGATCTTGTGCGCAAGCTAGCCTCTATGAGATTCAGATTGTGGTCAATTGGTGCTTCATAAGATCTTGTGCGCAAGCTAATCTTGTCCTATGGAACAAGATTGCAGGATGCTAATGTTGGGTTTGTTTGGGGTTCAGCGGGCTCTGCCCAGATCTTCTAGAGACTTGATTGGGGCTTGGAGATGTTGTACAATGGGGGCCGAAGTTCGTGATCTCTGGAGGGTTACACCTTTTTGTGTCTGGTTGTGCTTATGGCTAGAAAGAAATAGGAGATACTTCGAAGGAAAGGAGAATCCAATTGGGACGTTAAAGTTTTCTATTATTAATACTCATTTTTGTTGGGTTCTACGGAGATATTGTAATTCCTTGGAGGAGCTTATAGATTTTTTGGAATCTTTGAGGGATTGGAGGCCCTATTTGGACTTGTGTAGCTTTTGAGGGATGTGTTCCCCTTTTGAACGCTTTTTATACAATCTTTACTTATCAAAAAAAATAAAGTAATATATGTTATTGCTTCCTTTATAGATGGGTTCAATGTTCAGGAATCAGGGGAACAGGAAAGTGCTTTGGTATTAGCTTAGATTATCTGCAAAATGCAGCAACGGCTGATTATAAGAGATTTTAATGTGGTAAAGAACAGGGGGTATTCCATCAACTTTTAAGCTGCAAAAATTTTAACGTCTTGTTGATATACAAGTTGAAGATTTAAAAGGTTTCGGGTTTACATTTGTAGGTGCAAGAAATTCCATTGACTAGTTACAGCCAAACAGAACTGGGGTTTACATTTGTAGGTGCAAGAAATTCCGTTGACTAGTTGCAGCCAAACAAAACTCCAAAGACGATCAATATAATTCCCTACCTTCTCAGCAATGGGGAGATTTTTTTCTTCTCTGACAAATTTTTCAGCTGCTTCCTATGCTTATCATTTCTTTTATACATGGAGGAGGACCGTTACTAATCGCTCTATATAGGACCGTTACGAGGCCTTAAGTTAAAGTAAATTTAAGAAATGTGCTCGACAAAAGTATTTTTCTTATGAATTCCTTCCAATAAAATTCCTCTAACGAAGGCCTTATAAATGAAGGAATTTTGATATGACTGCGAGAGCTGTGTAGATAGATTTTTCAAATTCATCTGCAGTTACTTAGAGATACAAACCAATCTTATTACCTATTCCATGGTAAAAGGGTTTTATTTTTGGGACGAATGCATTACTTAATATTTGATACCCCTGCAAATTTTCATGTTCCTCCAGTGCTTTCTCTTTTCTATTCCTGCACTTATTTTATTTTATTTTTCACTTCTTTTTTTTCATTTAAAAACAAACTTGCATATTCTTCAATATTTGGCTATTGCCATTGCCATTTGCTTTTTGATAGGCAATCTTTATGCCTAGAAGAATTTTGTTTTTGATGATTGGTGTACGGCTCTTTGCCATTGCCCCTTCATATTCAATTGGCAATCAATTTTTGTCTTTCATGATTGGAGATTGGCTCTTCGCCTTTGCCACTCGATCTTCGATCAGCAATCTCTAGATTCACTACGCAAAAGCCTAGTACTGAAGTGATCCCTACTGCTAATATAGCCATTACATCTGAAAATATCACTTGGCAGAGAGTGACAGGAAGACCAAGAGTAAGACTAGGAATAGTAGGGTAAAGACCATCTCCATCGATAGTCCATCTAATCCTAAACAATTAATATAGCATGTTGGAACAAAAGCTCAAGTTCAATCAATTTTTTTCCCACTGAAACCTCCAAACTAAACACACACACACAGAAATTACCTGTTTTGACATGTATCTTGAGAACTAATTGCTATCGAAATCGCCTAGACCTGTCCAAAACAATTACAAAATGCAAAAACTCCATTTAATTGAACCTTCAAGTTCTAAAATTTTAACAATTACAGTCTAATAGAAGAGGGATATAGCTATGCTTAAAAATAAGAATCAACTCAAAATAATCAGCTCGATATAGGATATGTCCAAATGCTGAGCCTCAATATATATAAACACACACACACAGACATATATGAATGTATGATCAAACTTTTTCCAATCAATTTTTTCAATCAACATTGAAACCTCCAAAAAACACTGTGGAATTACGTGCTTTTGACGTGTACCTGGAGAACTAATTGCTTCAAAGCTCACGCAATAAATCCAAATAGCCTAAATCTGTTGACAACAATTGTAAAATGCAAAAAATTGATTTAATTGAACTTTTATGTTCTAAAATTTCACGAATTAAGGTGATATAGCAGATCAATATATGATCACTATCTGTTTATATAGAGAAAGAAAGTATGATGAGTTCTGAATCTTCTAATTATGTGTGTCCAGAGAGAAAAACTTATTGTGATTGAGAACAGCCATTGAATACTTCAAATCCAAGCAAATTAGATAAAAATGCCTCCCAAACTTTTGAGAATATAAATTTCAAAGGAATGCGGGAAAGTATGATCATCGATTGATCACTCTAGAGAACGTGAAAGCATGTGCTCCCAAAATGAGTTTACCAATGCCACGTTGCCAAAACGCTGGTTGATTTTTTTTTCATTTATTTAAGGATAAATTAGTATGACTTACCCTACTTATCAAAAAAAAAATATTAGTCTGACCTACCCTATGGTTTCCTTTTATTACACTCGTATTAAACTTTTCAAAGTATCATGGTCAACCTCCCCGAGGTTTGTTTGACTTAACCCTCACCTCCCCTACTTTTAAAGTCAAGTCAAACTGAAAATATAGATGTCCAAACTACCCTCATCTACATACATTTACAAATTAACCTTATCAATGAAATGAAATCACCAATTATGCCATTATTAAATGGACCAAAGTACCCCTAGCTGCAACACTTTAAAAAAGTGCTTTCTCTCTCCTTATCACTCTTTTTCTCTCTACGAACTCTCCCCTCCCTCAACACAGTCTCTCTGCCATACAAAGAGCTTCGTTAGTATCTCCCTTGTATTCTCTCTCTCAAAGTATCCAACTAAATCTCTCTCACAGAAGATGTTTAGGGACATTTTTTAATGATATGAATGTGATGATTGTAATGACCATTTTGTAATGATAGTAGTGTCACAGTTGTATTTCTGCATTTCAGTTCAATTCAATAACAATATTGTAATGGGAGATCATATGTGATCTTTAATGACAAAAGTGACCCATATTACATAGAAGTAAAGTGATATCTTTCATTACAGAATAAACTAATATAATTGTTTAGAATAGTGACATATTTAAGTCACCCACATTATGGCAGTAAAGTGACCCACATTACATAGAAGTAAAGTGATATCTTTCACTATAGAATAACCTAATATAATTGTTTAGAATTTATGGCAGTAAAGTGACCCACATTACATAGAAGTAAAGTGATATCTTTCATTATAGAATAACCTAATATAATTGTTTAGAATAGGGACGTACTTAAGTCACCCACATTAAAAAAAAAAATACACAATGGGCATTCAAGTTAAGACCTGTCACTACTACAATTCACCCACATTACAGAAATATATCCACTATACAAATGTTAGATTCCAAGTTAGCTGTGCAAAAAAAGCAGTCAACTGTCCAAGTTCAAAAATACTAGTATGTGCAAAACCCCAAAATACTTCCACTACCTGTTAGGGTCATACGGTCTTCTTTTTTCTCCTCCTACTTAAAAGTCAACAAATATACAAACTATCATGCTTATTAAAGGCGTATCATCACCACCATATCTCTAATGAAAAAACAAATGTTGCCACACAATTATAGATACATTAATAAAATCTATATTTATGTGTATAAATGTGTAGATAGAAAGAGGGATCATACTTCAGATTCGAACACGAACAGAAGGTGTGAAAGGAACGAGATGAGAGCAGAGTGATGAAGAGTACGGGTATTAGGGATACTGTTAAAAGAAACCATGAAACAAAACACACACATAATCATAGAATCAAACATAATATATGTGTATATCGAGTGGAAGAGAAGAGATGGAAAGAAACCCTAGGAACCAGCGTGAAAAGAGAGAGAGAGAGTGAACATGCCTTACCTCGTTCTTCACTCAACCTTCAACCTAAACCCTCGCGGTCACATTCTCGCTTCTGCATTTTCTGGTTCGACTTTATTAGAATGCGAGAGAAAAGGTATGAATTATGTGGCGTTGGGTGCAGGGTTGCAACTGGGCAACCCAGCCCAATCCGAATTTTTTTGGATTGGGCTTATTAAATCATAATTCGGTCCGAAAATCAGGCTGGGCTCTTCTAAAACCGATTAAATTCGGGTTGGGTTCGGGCGAATTCGCCCGAACCCAACCCGAAATTAAAAAATCCTCCAAATCTTAACCGTGGAATGATTTGATCCAACAGTTGATATCACACGCCCAAATAGCAACCATATGAACCTCATATTTCTTTCTCTATATAGATTCTCTCTTTAGAAGTTCCTCTGTCCACTGGGTTGAGTTGGGTGCAGAGGCGGAGTCAGGAATTTGTTTCAGGGAACGCCATATTAAAGATGATAAATTATATTTTTTTTCAAGCAAATAGTGATGTTAGACAATAAGTCAAAAAATAGAACTGTAATAATGGTGGAATAATAACATTTAATAATTTAAAAAATAATTATTTTTAAAAAATGGAAACATAAAATACCGACCTTAAGAGTCCTTTTAGCAACAAATTTAATTACCAAAGTTTGAAGAGGAAAAAAAAAAAAAAAATAGTTTGAATAAAGGAATGCAACTTTTTTTTAAGAGAATATAAAGAAGAAGAAGAAGAATAGGAGGAGTAAGAATGAAAAGAAAGGAAAAACTAAAGATATTTTTTAAAAATAATTATTTTAGTGGACATTTTTGTAAAATTTTATAAATTATAGGCCTATTTGCAATAACAATTAATTGGCCCAATGGTAAATAATTATTTCAGGGGGTATTTTTCACTTTTTTTTTATAAATTATTGGCCTATGTGTAATAAAATTTAATGGCCACTTTATAGGAAAAAAATTATTTTAGGGGGGGCATTTTGAATTTTTTTTATAAATCATAGGTAAATTTGTAATTAAAACTAATTGGGGGGGGGGGGGGGGGTGCATGGCTCCCCCTGGGCCTATGCTGGCTCCACCCCTAGTTGGGTTATATTGCTAATAAATCAAACAACAATAAGATCTTGTGGTGGGTAGACGTTGATGACGAAGAGGAATACAGAGGAGATGATTGCAGCAGAGGGGGTGGAAGTAAAAAGAGAAAGTGAGGCTCATCCGTACACATTTCATGTGTCTGTGCCTCGCAATGTTTGCTCTCCTATGTAAAATTATATTATGTATTGTATTCTAGAGTTAGGTTAGCCATCTTCACTTACTCTTATTATCATATATAGGATTACCTTATATGAGGTTTACTTGCTCTCTACACATGACCTCTCCTGTATAAACTCCTATATATTATGGTATTATATACATCAATACAATATAATATTCATTCTCTATACTTTTAACTTGGTATCTGAGCCTTTCGACCTCTGGTAAATAATCTACCAGTTTATCGTAGTCATCGCCGAGGATGGCATCATCAGCCCTATCCTTGATGGCGATCAACCTTCAAACTTATAGTTTCGCATCTCAACCATCAATCTCAAATTCATAAACAGCAAAAGGCTTATTTGGCCGTCTAATCAACCTCTAAGACATATCATCGCAGTTTCACGGCAGTAGCGCCATAATTCTGCCTCGTCAGCGTTTCATCCTTAGACACAGTAAACAACGGTGCCAGTAGTAGTGCCACATCAACTGTCATGTTAGACACAACCACCAGTAGTGCCCCATCACCTGCCACGTTAGTTGTTAACCGTGCCTCCATTTTCATCATGGGCCATCTCCATCAAATTTCAATTAGGTTGCTTTCAAGGATCTTATCCTCAAACTCAAAATAACTTTATATAACTTGCCTTGACTTTAAGGGAGGCTGTTAGATTATATTATGTATTATATTCTAGGGTTAGGGTTAGCCGTCTTCACCTGTCTTTATTACCATATATAGGATTATCTTATATGGAGTTTAATTGCTCTCCACACATAATTTCTCCTATAGAAATCCCTATGTACTATGGTATTATACACATCAATACAATACAATACTCATTCTCTATAATTTTAACATCCTAATTAGAGAAATCTCATCAACCACTATATTTCTTTACATATATATATATATATATATATATATATATATATATATATATTTCCATATCATGTGAATGGATGCATAATATGCATTACATGTTTCGCGTACTTTGAGTATAAACAAAAGAGCAGTGCTACACATCTCAAATTAAAATTTAAAATTTTATTTTGAATAACGATAACTAAAAAGACATTAATATCCTCTATTTTAATACATATTATGCTTTATTCTTTTATTCATTTGTTAGTGAAGGCACAACGGAAGCATTTAATAAATTTTCTGGATCTTAACCACATGATATGATATGTCACCAAATCAATAACTATTTGTATAGGATTTCATACCTTTGGACGATTGATTAACTAGTAAACCTTCACCTCTATATCCCCAGAACACACAAGTTTGTGGAAACCCTATATCTCTCACTCTCGATTATTCTGTATCGGGTTTGTGCATGAATAATCGAATAAATCAGCCTGAGAGATATATAGTGTATATAGATAGGGCTAGAGATGAGGATCAAAAGGGATTCTTATCCTAACTCCAATTAGATAGAGATAGAGTTATCTCATAACTCTATCCTATCTAATTAATTACAATAAGCACCAGAATAATATTGTAATTCACTCTAGGATTCAGAAATTATAACAAGGCCCTGTCATACTAAATAACTACATATAAGTCCCTCCACTACCGAATATACGTAAGTAGCCTCAAGGAAAATAAATATTGTCCCACCTAAGGCATGTTTACTTCTTATAATCCTTAAGTAATCAATTTAATCCTTGTGATCACTGAATTTCTTTTGTAAAAGAATTTTTTAAAATAAATATTTTTCTTAATAAATAATAGAAAAATAATTTAGTAAACATTTTACTAAAATGCCCTGACCAGGTTCTAGTGATTAAACTTATTAAATTGCACCAAGGGGATATTCTTACTCTTATGGGTATGGATTCTATGTTGGGCATTTGTATTCCCAGAGCTCCAACATTAGCTACCCAAGATACCATGGTATTGACCTTAAAAGATCTCACATGTTGGTAAGTCAAAGTGACCAATACTGAAACTTGATTCCACTAAACCTTTCAGGATTTAGAGCTTAATGTATCTAGTAGATAAGAATCACACCAAAATAATAATAGTAATTTATATGGTGTGATCTTACGGTGATCCAGTTCAGTGTACTCCAAGTACACTAACACATTGGCCTTAGAGTCAACTACCCCAATGGTCGAGACAAACCATCATATCCTATAGAGGTCAAGTGTGTTACAGTCTTACAAATAAAAGTGCCAAACTTTTATCACTGACTGTGAACAATGCTAAGGTGCAAGAAACCGGTGAGCCCAAATCTCATGCATGTAAATCTCATTTACACACTTAAGTCACCTATAATACAACTTGAGGACAATAATGCATCTCAAATAAATATATGTATAGCCCAATGCATGAATATTACATTAATTAATAAAATATCAAATTAATAATAAATAATTGGCTTATAGGACATATAATCCCAACAATCTCCCACTTGCACTCAAAGCCAATTACCATTACATCTAACACCCATCCCTTCAATATGAGACTTAAAACCCCTAGTAGGTAGAGTCTTAGTGAAAGGATCTGCAAGGTTATTTGTAGATGCAATCTTAGTGACAACAATATCCCCATGTTGAACTATCTCTTTAAAACACCACCACACTTCCATCACTCTTCTTGTATACACAAGGCCCATTTAGATTTTAATCTTGTTCAAATGATTTGACCATGATCAAAACGAATGTTCCGAGTCACAATCATTCGTAACCTTTTTATAAATATACAGGGATCTCACTCTTCTGGGATCACCTCGTCAGACTTTCCCAAGAGCATTAACCTATCAGATGGCTTGATTATAATTACCCGGTCATTTCCTTCCTTTCCTTTTTCTTTAGAATTTTACGGATGAATTTTTTTCGTTGAAATATCTTTTCTGAGTTCAGTTTCTCGTCGCTTAGTGTCGTCTCGAGTGCTCAGAAATGGTTTCTGAGACTCTTTCCTTTGGATTGATAACTTCCTTTGAGGACCAAGTCATTTCCACATTTTTCGTTTTTCGACACTATTCATTTTTCGTCCTTTTCCCTGTTTTGTCCTCTTCCCTATTTTGTCTTTTCCCCGTTTGTAACTCGGTTGGCATAACCTCACTCCTTGTGTTCGGAGTTGGTTTTTGATGTCACATATCTTCATTTTGAGTGGTTTCCACGAAATACGTGTCCTTACTTTTGCAGAAAAGTACTTTGGTTGCTCTCGGTGTCCATAGGGGTATGGATGTATAGTTTTCAGAATCTTTTTCTCTTCTTGGGATGTTTTTCATAAATATCTTTTGAAGATATTTTATTTCAGGGGTTTTTAAGAAAATATTATTGGAAGATATTTTCATTCTGGGTCATTAGTGCAGTTTTCACTTTTTGGAGGGCCATTGTGCAATTAATGAAAGTTATTGCAAAATACCTCGTCTGGAGCTTGAGTCCTCGTACGGGATTCATTTTCACATTTCGTCGAGTCGTGTACTCTTAGAAATTCCTTCTGGTCGTTTTTCTCCAGTTTCAGGGTTTTTGGCCCTAGTTGCCGCCGAACTTATTCGGGGCATATCTTTCTGCTCAGGACTCAGTTTTTGACTCAGTTTCTTCCGTTGTCCATATTTTCTCATTTAGAATCTTTTTCATTCACAGAGTTTTGTCATTTGAGCGCGTTTGCTCAAAATTTACTTTTCCGGACCCGGCGAGACCCTTTCGGGGCACTTTTTGAGATTTTCTATAAATAGGGGGTCTCAAGTCAGAAAGTCAAAATTCCATCATCTTCTTCACCCTCTTGGCCAGCAGCCATGGGAGCCCAAGGGGCTGCCTTCATTCTTTCTTCTCCTCCATTTGATTTCCTTAGTGGAAACTCTTCGGCCTTAACATTTATCGTTCCCCTCGACGTGCTCTACCTT